GAAAATTAAGTTACGTTTACAAAAGGGTTAGAACTGGTCACTGGTATTTAAGAGAAAAGTGCACTTTACGATTTAAACTATCATGAACGCAGCCAGCTCGTTATATACGGCATTTTTAAGTTACCTGTAAACTTAACTACAAAATAATGGTAATTAAGACGGAATCCCCTAGGAAATTGAGTAATTTTAATTTTTAGTGGACAAAAACCTCGTACCAGATTAATTCAAAGCATAATGCATTCTATTTTACATTTTCCAAGGGTTAAAGATGTAATTAGTCGTCTGTATAAACACCAAAGAAAATTTCTCGTGGGAGTCCGAGAAAATAAGTGTCAAATTTCACAAGAATTGTGAAAACACAGGTTAAATGTAATTTGTAAGATGTAATTCGGGGAAATTTGACATTCATTTGCTCGGGCTCCCATAAGAAATTTTCTTTGGTGTTATTACAGATGACTAATTACATCTTTAGCCCTTGAAAATTTTAAGAAAGAATGCAATACGTTTTTATTATTCTGGTACAAGGTTTTTGTCCACTGAAAATTAAAATTATTCAATTTCCTGGTGGATTCCGGCTTTCATTATCAAAGTTTTAGTTGTTTGCCAAGTATTTTACAACCATTGCAATTTAAACTTAGAATTCTAAGGTTAGGTTGATATATTTGTGTTGACCTAAGTAGAAACATTTTTGTAAGTTTTAACCATATGCTTTAAAGACATATTGGTCTGTAACTAGAGACTTGTAACCAACATCTTCAGCTTTAAGCCTGTGTTCAAGAACTGTTTCACAATAACAGTGTTGCATCTGAGTGTTTGATTGGCATTTGTATTTATAAACTCTACAACATTTTTGATAATTTTCATATTGTTCATGCAAATAATTAAGATCTGAGCAATCTGCGTTATCATGGTGTAGCTTACTTATCATTCAAATCTTCCTCCTTCTGCACGTGAGATAGGATCTATTTGTCGAGAGTATCAGTCATGGGCAAGAACAGTCACAGCAATGTCATTCAAGATTTTGGTATTGACATAATAGAAGTGTTGTACATCATCGTACATCTTGATAAGATCTTACATACATGTAACATCTCTCACTTCAAGATCTTAATTTGGCCATACATACGTTTAACTTGTAAGATTATCCAAGAACTTGGAAGGGTTTTCTTCAGCAGTTGTTGCAATAGTCCAGTTTCGAGTTCGCTATGACCACAGAATTAAAGAACTGAAGACGCACTTTTTACAGCCTTAGCCTCCATCTGAAGTAATATATTCACAAATTCGAAGGAGAAAAAGACCTGTTTTTTACGCTGTCTATTGTGTATATTCAAATTTCAAACACTTACTTGCCGGAATTTCTGAATATTTTACTTTACCTCGAGGCTAACCCTGTATGAATGGGTCGTTAATATTTGTATTCAGCGGTAATTTTTAATTCGAAACTAGACTATTAGATCTTACATGATCTAACAAAATTTCTTGACCAGACTGTTATCAGCAATAATAAGATCTTGTCAAGATCATTGAAAGATCTTGTCAAGATTATGCAAGATCTTTTTAAGATCATTGAAAGACCTTGCCTACATCACTGAAAGATCTTGCCAAGATTGTTAAAAGATCTTGCCAAGATTGTTGAAAGATCTTGTCAAGATCATTAAAAGATCCTGTCAAGATCTTACTAAGAACATGCAGCTTCTTGCATGATCTTACAGGATCTTGTCCAAGATCTTACATGATCTTACCAAAGATCTTGCCAAGATCATGTTAAGATCTTGCCATGATTTCACCAAGATCTTGTCAAGATCTTACTAAGGTTTCCAACCCGGGTGGTAGTAAATAAATCTGTCTCTTGACTTCCCCTTCTGCACCTGCCTCCAGTCATCAAAATCTACCATTTCGTCACTTGTCATTGCTGCATGGTAGAACCCTCTTGGAATAATTTTACCTTTTTCCTTCTTTAAATTATGCAGATAAAACTCGGATATGGGATTCAGGCCTTGGAATACATTTCTTCCTTCCCCAGAGTAAAGCATTTGTAGAGACGAAACCTATTGAGCAAAAGGTATTACCACTCAGAATATGGAAACAAGTTAATTCAATACAAACACTAGAGATTCCAAGATTATAAAAATAAAGTTTGGCTGAATTTCTTTGATTGAGAAACAGCATACAGCTTCTAATTGCTTAAAGTACTTTCAGAATATAAAATTCTTCCCTTTGCTCGCGAGAATTTGTTACACTGTTCGAGTCCATAACTATCATTAACCTCTTTCATACTGGTTATCAACACTTTGGAACAATTTTGAGTCTTCATTAATCCGATTAATGTCAAATGGATTAACAAAAAGGTCTACTAAACTTTACTTCAGGCTATGAAAGGACTAAAGAATTTTAAAAAAAATGAGAAGTTATGTGTGGATATGGAAAGGGTTAAATAGTAGTACAATATTCAAATGAAAGTATTTAAAGCTGCATGGTAACCATTCATAGTACGTGTTCTAGATTACACAACTACAGCATCTCCAAATCACTATCAATAATAAAAAATTATAAATACAAAATTCTTACATCAGTATGGGCATCTTGGGCAGGTTGGAGCAGATCACGCAGGACATAATCATCATCATCTGGTTCATTGACTATAAAAAAGTGGAAACGTTTGTTCAAGCATATAATAAAAAGAAGTGAGTTTGGTTGTAGTACTCTGGTGAACTAATGAAAAAAACTACTATTAATTAGCACATACACTGAATTGTACTATGATCACATGCATGAATGATGTATTTTCTTCAGCAAGATTTGACTGAAGGTCATCTTTTGTTTGCTAATTTTGTTACGACAATGTTTATGTTAGAACCCTAAGGCAGTATCAACAAACAGCTGTTGACAAATTCATAATGTCTTATGTATAATGGATGGTATTCATAATGGTATGACATGTATACTAAGATTTGAAGGTCATTTTAGTTTCACATTATGAATAAACAAATTCTAGACATTTCAACTGCAATGTTCCCGTCTCCCAACAAATACCACTTATTTTCCTGGGTGGCTAATATAATATTATTAATCCATTAACAAATTACCTAGAATATGTTCCCCATTGGAAAAGTCAATGTCATTGTCAATTGGTTCAAGACCTAATGGGGAAAGTGGAGGGGGAAGATGGAAAGGATCATCTTCCATGTCTTCAGTGTCATCCAAAGAATCTCCTGTGGCATTACTATCAGGCATAACCACACCAACACCAGAGCAAACCTCCCCTGTCGTTTCTTGAGACACTAAGAGCGTGTCCATGAGAGAACCAGGCAGGAGGTGATAATGCTCAAATCACGGATTTCGCTCAAACTTGGCACAATTGATGGGTGTGATGAGATATTAACCCCGACAAAAAATAAGGTCGCAATATTGAATTCCCTGGGATTTACAGGGACCCCCCCTAAAAACGACAAAATCTACTCATTTTTGCATAATTAATTAGCTGACTTTGGTTTGGCTGTTCAACAAGAAGAAAAGACAACTTCAAATCTAATCAACTTTATCATCTTCTATGTTTATCAAACTTAATGCTCAGTAATTTATTTTTACTCTCTAATTCGATCTCTTCCTATTATTTAGCCTAAAGTAAGGACATCTTCTCACTGTTTTGACCAAACCCTAAATTTAAGGTATTTTAGTGGCTAACATCTCCCATGAGCAACAACCTATGTACTTAATTCTCACATATTCTTTGAAAGACATCTTTAAGGTTATCAAATCAATCATAAAATATTTGGGCAATCTCATACTTTATCAATAATGACGTATTATGTACATCTGACTTGACGCTTATTTGTCATTTGACCAAAATTGGAAGAAACGTAACATTCCTTTTTTTAAACAAAAATAGCACAAAGTTGACGAGAAGTCACAAATCAGATGCGTCATTATCGATACTAATAGCGGAATTGTTAGAACGTGTCACCTGAGGCATGTTTTCTGTGTTATTTATAGACGTTCGGATGGATATTTTATGGAACGCTTGAGTAAACACAAGGAGCAAAAGAGTTAGTTCAAAACTTCGATCGGTCCTACTTGTAGGTGAAAAAAGACTCAACAAGGATAAAAGATAGTGAATAAATGTTACATACACGTCTCTCAGGTGCTTTAGTCCAGATTTGCTGCTCCAGTTTCGTCTGGTCCTTTGTGGCGTTACTTCGTGACGAGGTAATGAAATCGAAACATCTTGAAACATTGCAGAATTAAAAGTGTCGGCTTTTCACCGAACATTCGAAGTCTTTGAAATAAGTTGTAGTCAGAAAGAACAAAATCATTCTCAAAGGACAAGAAGGATCACTGACAATCCGTCTATATCTACAGAAAACAACCACCTGCTCGACACCTTCCATCTTTGACTTTAGACTCTGCCAAAAAGATGGAATCTGTGACGCCGGACTACCGGGCTCCGGAATGCGGAATACGCTATCTATTGTTGTACGCGCCAATATCCTGTTATAACTGGTGTGTTGAAAATAGGTTGTGAAAGTCGTGTTACTTGAAATTCTGAGTTTATTCGATGTTGACATTAATTACCATGTTAATAATGGTGCATAATAGCCCTTTTTGTAGTTAGACCGTGCCATGCAATTTTTAGACAATTAATGACTTGCCACTGGGTATAATTACTTACTTAGTTGTATTTTAATCCTCGTAGTCTTACAACTATACAGGTTGGTATCTGTATCTGGGTATATTATTGACTACAAAAATATTATAATAACCGGTTATAAACGTGTTGAGGAAAAACTTCTGAGGAATACAAAAGACCCAAAAGGGGGCACTAATACATTGCAAAAAAAGTCGGCTAGACTTCTTTGGCTATAAGGAAGGTGTAAGAGAACAGTTTCTTGAACACAGACTAATACACTATATTCACTTCTCATTTAAGCTGTCATTTGCGGATTCATACACTAGATTAAGTTCTCTTAACGGACACTCTTGTATATAGCGAATAGGTCTACTTACGACTGCCTGTTTGCTGCCTCTTCCATTGATAAAATGCTGTAATCTCCGTCAAGGCACCTCATAGGCTCTGATAGTGTGGAAAACCCACAGCTAATTTCACAAATCTGCTTTAACCACATTACACCTGCTGCCAAATCAAGATCACACCCATCAAACAAGGGAGGCCCATGATTGGAAATCCCTATTGCATTGTTCATTGCACAAAGTCCACAAAAAGAGCTGTACCCTTGAACTTGCATGGGATGTTCCTGATTGCAATTTTGGCCAGATATGTGCACTTGACCCTGTATACCCTTATTGGCATGCTTGTTAACTATTTTCAGGAAGTAGCATAAGTTTCTTCTTTCTGTGGCATCGTCCTGAGAAGGTTTGCTGTCTGCAAGATAAACCCTTAGTGGCATAACAAACTCAGCCAGTTCACCACCTTGTACATTGATACTTTCTAGGTGTTGAAGGCATTCAGCCTTTAGCTCGAAAAGAGTAAGCTGCTGTTTTTGTTGGCACCAGGGAACGTTAGCAGATGATATCAAGGGCGGCTGATCAGGAACGGAGAGATTTCCTTTCTGATTGCC